ACAGCCTGTGAACACTGCCTCCTGATGTAGTGAAACTAAATTGAAATTCCATATTGCATAGATACATCTCCCCTCTGTCATTCTCTTCATTTGATTTTTGTGTTTCTCCCTCCTCTTCGTGTCTCATTTCCTCTTGTCAAATTCATCATCTAAATTTTTCAATCACATGTACTCTGACTCATTTATTCGGGGTCTCACTTTTTCTGTCAAGCCTGGCAATCTTAAGATAGCAACAGATGTGATACTGTTGCTATCACTACACTTCAGCTCTTTTCAATCTTTCTCTCACTTGCTTGCTCGCTGACTTGCTCACTCACACTCTATCTGACCCCTTCCTTTCACCGCCTCCACTGCCTACATTGTCATTATCGTGAATCTCGTAAAGTTGTGCAGTTGAATGTTGTCAGATCTGAGGCTCTGTAACAGATGTCAACTTCAAATGCACTCCTCCAAATGGTAACCCTGTATAATGACAGAGAATAATTATGGCATCTAAAGTGCAGCATTTCAGATTATGTGTATTTATTAATTATGCGAGAAATTATACATTATTTATACACTGTAGCACAGTCTAGTAGTCAGATCAGGCCAAGCCATGATACAGACTTGTGCTATGGAAATTATCGGGGGCTGGAGTGCCAAAGAAATTCAGTAGGCTGGAGAATCAACTGCAGCATGCAGTCCTGAATGCCTGAGGCTAGAGGGATTAAGCAGCTAAATGACAGCTGGCCTAATGGTGTGACATGAAATTTATTAGTGGCTAACAACATTGTTGCAGGTAGTGTTAAAGTACACTTGTGGTGGTCATATGTCCAAAGCTCTGAAAGAAGTAGCAGCAGAATTATTAGCATTCACCGCACTCAGCCCAAATAAGCAGCCTACCCACCAACCCACTGCCCCCTTAAGAGTATCCCTGCCCCGTTTACTTCTTTTGAGCTTCTTCTGCTTCCTCTCTTATTCTGAGGGGCCTCTCCCTCTCTCGCTCTATCCATCTCTACCCCCACCCTATTCCTCTCTGTCATTCCTCTTGCTGCATTGCGAACCCCAGCAGCTGGTTTGAGAATCCCCACAGAGCTGTTTCAGCTGAACTCTGCAACATGCACATTTGTTTAGGTTTTTTTTTTTTAATACTACTGTATGTGCACTGGAAGGTGTGCGTCTGAAGGTATGTGTGTGTTTTGCTTCAGCCCTGTGTCCATTTATCTATGGGTATAATGCACCTCCTCTTTGCCAACTACCCTCATCGCTTTAATACTTCACCTCACTTCTCTCCATTATACACACGTTACAGAATAAAAGGTAATAATGTCTTTCCCTCTCTGAATAGCATTAACATAACTATGTTAACACTTTGTGACAGCACGTAGTGAAAACCAGGCCCTTGGTCCATAACTATGTGTTGCAGTGTGAATGAGGCAGGTAGACATGAATAGAATTGTAAATGGCTTCTTTGAAAAGGGGGGAAAGGGGCCAACCCTCTAACAAATTGCACATAAACAAATAGCCACAGGCCATTGGTTGAGCCACTGCCAACATCTTTGAGAAGTGACAGAGAAAGAGAGCAAGAGGGAGGGAGAGAGAAAGGAGACAGTAGGACGGGTGCATTCCTTTCCATATAATTAGGTTTTATTTGGCTCCCTCAGCTTGGATCGTATCTCTTTCCTCCTCTTCATCCTTCTCACAACCTCTCCTCTTTTTCTCGTCACTCCATCAGCATAAGAGTAGGCCTACTCACACCAAGCATCAGGACTCAAGCAGCTATGACTTTCCAACACATATTATATGAGATATTGGCCAGCATGCAGAGTATGACTCATGTAATTAACTCTGAAAAACTGAAAATATGTCAACAGGCGGAAGAGAGAGGGATAGCAAGAAGGTAATACGTTCACTGACATTTCCTTTCCATTTAAGCAGGATTACCTTTTGGCTCGGCTGCCATCAGCTCTTGCCAGAGGCTGCTGAGTCCAGTTACTGGAACAAGATGTGAAATGGTGAAACCTGAGCTAACACCATACAAACAAAAGCATGGAATCATCCATATAGCCAGAAAGTACAAAATTGTATCTTAAAATTAAATTGACAGATTAGTCTAATGTTTTGGAGGAATGACAGCCAGAAAGTAATAGAATAAAAAAACAAGTGCACAAAAGTAGCGTACAGCAAAAAAGAAAAAACACACAGAAGCTGTCATCCATCTCTTTTTATTTCAAGTAGCACAGTCAGAGACCGAAGGGGATTTGTTGTGATGGCAGTAGAGTGTGTGATTTATGTTTCCACAGCATGGGGAACAGGTCCTTCAAGTGAAGTAGGACAACAGCAATATGGGAGAAACAATATTAAGACAGAGCGGCGTGTAATATTAGCTTGTTCAGTCAAGCAAAATAATGCAGAAACATAGCAACTATATCTGAGAAATGATTCATTGTGAAATATAATATTTTTGGGATCTGTTTTTATACTGTATATAAACAAACAAATTGAACAAATTGACAAAAACAGACAAAGAAGACTCATCTCCACTCCCACTCACCCATCCTACCCTGTCCCATCCCTAGCTACCCCTTTATCTTCACTGAAACCCTTCACTACCACTAACTTGGTGACCTTCATCACCAAGACATAAACATACGTCATACACTTACAGTAAAACATAATCTGAATAATAATAAGAATTCAATAGCCAGTTCTAGACCCGATATAAGGAGCACAAGTAGGGCATGTGAGAGTTATGATTTCTACTGTAAATCCATGTGTTTCACCTTCTGCCTGTATTGCTTTGTGCAGCACAAACAAAAGCAGGTCATCTCTTTGTCTTTGTGGACAATGTATACATTTATAACTTCACACAAATGCACATATTTTGGTAATTAAAACAAGTTCAGTCTGCAATTATTACTGTCATACATTATGGCCCATGGGGGGTGTGAGTGTAAATTATGATCATGTAATGTTGGAGCCTATACAGTAAACTCGAGATACATTAACTTTCTCTAGGAGAGCAAGATACAGTCTTTAAAACAATGTGAATGCAAAAATAGCTCCACTAGAGGATTTGGCACCACTAAACTAGTGACAAACATGAAATCACATTGTCGGAGCTCTAATTAGAAGACGTCTGGGCTACAAGTGAGGAGTAAAGCCTGGCAGCTGGAATGATTGAAATGCCCTGTCGAGTTAAGATAAGACCTGAAAAATGAATAATGGTAAACCTTGCAGAGAGCCTGACTCAGACAATATATTCTCTACATTTATTTAAAACGTCTATAGACTTCTGTATAATAAATACTATGCTTATGGGCACATCATTAGGACATTAAGTACTGTGAAATTATATAGAAATGTAGAAGAAATGACATAGCAGAAAATAGAAGTAAACACTTTTCTAGAGGGGCTGGTGCAAAGGTTATTTAGGGTCCCATCATCCATTTCGTCCATTCTGCACATCAAATTATAAAAATGCAGATGTATTATTTATCTTAGTTTCACTGATTAATTTAAACTAAGAATCAGCTCTTATAAATATGAAAACTTCGAGTTTTGGTACATGATTCTTCAAATATCACATTGTAGCTGCAAAATGCAAACTTTTCAGAAATCACTTGTGTATATTGATTATGCATTTTTTAAAGGATTTCATGAGAGATTTGAGGATTTTCTCAACTTTTAATCAGATGATCCTACAAATGAATGAACATGTAAGTCACCAACGTTGGATTAACCAGGGTTTCACCCTTCACCCAATATACCCTTTTGTTTGTGATGTGAAAAGTAATTAAAGTTTATGTTAGAGCTGAGTTTATGTTATGCCAGATGGTTTGTTACACGGAACCATCTGGGAAGTCATCAGTGCAAACTGTTTGGAAATGGGCTGGTATTTTCTAAAAGTACTTGGCAAGTGATAGAATGAACCATCTGTCTATTCACAGGCAAACTTCAACCAATCAGATCAACGAACCATAACGTAGTCAAACTCTTACCTAAGTCAGTTGGGAGAAGAGTGAAAACATCTTTTCCACTGAGAAAAGCCTTCAGAGTAGATCTTTGCTCTCCTTTCAATGAAATCCATTTATGATAGTTATAATATAACTGATGCTAGCACCATCTACACTAATCTCTTTAGCCGTCACTTTTAAGTCACTTCTCCCACTCGTTGTCACACACACTTAGTGTCAAATCACGGCCAAAGCTCAAGCCGTAGCTGCCAGTAGTTTCTCGTAGCACGCTGATTGGTCAGAACCACTGTGGTTTGGACACAGGCACATGGCTTGAAGCCTGGCAAGATGGATTCTCACATGATCTTTTGATTTTGTGATCTTGCAAGTCTATCAAGGTTACAAGTTGGCATATTCAAATCGCTTGTTTTGTCCAAAACTCAAAGATATTCAATTAAATAATATAGAGGACTAAGAAAACCAACAAATGTTCTCATTCTCAAAAATAGTAAACAATTAATCCATTACTGAAATAGTTGCTAATGCATTCTTTGATTGACTAATCCATTAATTGAATAATTCTTTCAGCTAAACTGTAATTACGGTGTCTTTTCCTGTTTTTAAATGACTTGATTTGCTGAACTCATTTGACAGTTTTAGCCAAGTGAAATAAACAACAAATGCCTCCACTTTGCCCCCCCGTTTCTCCTTCCCAATTGTGACTCTAACCAGGACGTCTTTTCTTTTTGACCCATGTTGTGGAATCTGCTGCATCACTGAAGACAAACTGTTTCAGTTTAAGTGACAACAGTCACCTCCCGCCCCCTCTTCACAGCCCACACAGGCACTGGCCTCTTCTACAGCAGAGACAGACAGAGAGGCAGGCTGGGCTTGATATGCAAATATAGCCTGAGTAGGCGGCAGCCGAGAGCCGAGTGTGCAGCAATGTGAGGACTCTTGCAAGCCCCGCCCACAGAAGCCAGTTGCTAGGCGACCACCCGCAAGACCAGGAGGAGGGGTAAGGGGGAGGAGGGGCCATGAATTCAACAACTGTTGCCTGATCTGAGCTCTTACTGTGTGAATGCGAGTCAGCCGGCGAACCAGTCAGCAAGAGAGGCAAAGTGTGTGAGTGTGAGGGTGTGAGGTCCAGAGTCTGTGCTTGTGTGTGTGTATGGGTGTGTGTGTGTTACAGAGAGAGAGGGAGAGGGAGAGAGAGAGAGGCAGTCGCAGTCTGTCTCGGTGCAGGAGAAGCCAGGCAGCCGGTGCAGTGTTTTAAAGTGAACGATACATCCTGCTCCTCTCTTTGGATTATACCACTAACAGGGACTCACCCTTTGGACTATCCCGACGCTTCCTCCTTCTCTTGCCTTTGAAGGGAACACCTGTGTGTGGTGTGAGAGTGTGTGTGTGTTTGTGTGCAAACCAAGACAACGGACTTAGCCCTGGTGAACAGGGCGAGTGGATGACTTCAGTGGTTGAGGGTTTGGCTGGTCGAAAGAGGGGGACTGCTGACCATGGACTCCCCTCACTAGTAAACGGGGTAAGCAACACAGACTGCACCCAACCAGCTGGAAAACGGGGGTGATGATAGATTATTTGACAGAATGGGAACAAAACAGAGACAAGACTCAATGGAGAAAGGGTTTAGTGAAAGAAAGGCGAAAACATAAAGAAAGAAGAGATAGTTTTTAGTTAAGGGGGAAGACTGGCGAGTTAAGGGGGATGGGGTGTGGAGGGGGTTAGATCAGCGGCAGTGCAGAGTCCATTGTCCCCCCAGTTTGTGTTTGAATGTGTGTGTTACACGCAGTTGACCCTGCCTCGCGGCTCCCCTGTCTGTCTTGCTCAGCTGTTGGCGTCTGTGTCATCACACTGCACTGTCCTGTCTCTTATGTTCACTCTCTTCTCATCCCTGTCTGCTTTCCAGTATCCCTCCTTATCATTTTCTGTCTGTCTGTCTCTCTCTCTGCCTCAGTCGCTGGTGGCTCTGTTGCAGTTCAACATCTCTCTGATGGTAATGGGATTAATTGGAAATCAGGGTAGCTGCAAGGAGAGGGAATGACAGAGAGAGGGGGGGAGAGCGTGAAGTGTGGAGGGAACAGGACAGATATAGCATGTCCAGGCACAGATAGATAAAATATTAGATATGAGAACAACAAGTTTGCTTTGGAAATTGATTGATTTGGATTTGTTTAATCAGGCCATAGTTTGGTGAAAAGAGAGAAGTTTATACCCGAACAGTCACATTGTGTTTTGAACCAACCACACTAAAAATTAAGGTGTACCTCAGACATAATACACATTTTAGATCATCTAGAGAAATGTAGTCCATCAAAAAAACATGATTGCAATGAGCTGTTGACAATAGACGAGTATCAGCCTGTTTAGTCATGTGATGTTGACAGTACACCTGATACTTGCTGTACTTTTTGTACCTTCTAATATTCATTCATTACTCCAAACATAGAAAAGGCAAGGTGAGTCTTATTTGTATTGTGGGGATCACAATGGCAGCAATGTGACGTCAGACTCTATAGTCGTTTTGAATACTCCTGGACTGTGACTGGACATTACATAATGAGATTTACTCTTCTTCAGCTGAGCAAGAAATTCCCTGTCGATTGTCCCAGACTCAAAAGGTTTCTGGAAGACTTTTGTTTCCCACTAAAAATAATTTTGCATGTGTTGATATAGTTGAATATAGTTGCTTTTAATACTGATTTGATTTTGTCAAACGAGGTTGACATTCAGCATTCATTCAAGTGCATTTGACGGTGCACAGTGTGTACACCAGGACTAGAATAACTAGATTAGCATGCAGCACTGAGCTGTACTGGATGAATAGAGGCTAATCTTCAGCAGTTAAAACAGTCACTCCTCTCTCTGATTTCTTCTTTACTTTCTGATACATTGCTACTGAGAGACTACACAGTAAGCTTTAGCTGAAACAAATTCCTTTTAGAAAATACCTTAATGAGTTATTGCTGTGCACATGCAACAGCTGACAAGAAGCAGGGGTCTGACCACCTGCTGAGGGTCTGCCACTAACAGCACACTGAAATGCCCCCATTCAACGGACAACAGAAGGAGACACTGTCGCTCAAGAGACAGACAATGCACGTTGTTAAAGAAACACAGAAAAGTCCTTTATTTTCTTTTCACTGGAAATGAGTTTGATGACTCAGAGAGGAAAATCAACACGCAAGGCCCAACACTCTTTGGTTTAAGATGATGGATTTGAACACTGAATGAGACGGAGAGTTGTTAAGTGTTTTGGCTGCTACATATGAGTCAGGGTGTTGTCCTTTTTCTCTTGTAGATGAATCTAACTTCTTCCTTGTAATCTCTAATAGTACTAGTGATGATGATAATTCATGGGAAACATTACTGAAGCATACCAAATGCTGAATCAGTAGGCCTGAAACTATTGGTCAATCAACCAAAAATGAATCAGGAAAAGGAAGATATTTTTATCTTTCAAGTCAGTTATCACGCAAAAAAGCTACAAATTCTCAAGTTCCAGCTTCTAAAATTAAAAGATTTTCTTCTTATTCTGTTACATCATTGTGAATTAAATCTCTTTGAGTTGTTTAGACTGTTGGACAAAACAAGAAATCTGAAGACATTACTACGGTCTCTAATTGTAAAGGACATTTTTCACTGTTCTGATCATTATTTGCAGCCCCAGTATTATATGTATGCATTTCACAGTCTGTCGAAAGACTAAAAACAAAGCACACTCATGACTTTGGTTTGACTTCTGTGGGTTATGCCGACTTCCTTGTTTTGATATGAAGCAGTGGCGTGTTTTGTTCAAAGTTACCGTAAATACTTCTCAACACTTACAGTAAGAATTCAGAACAGGTGATTGACACCCCGAGGGTAAACGGACTAATAAACCCCCCCCACACACACACACACATACTGTCACACTCACACACCTGCCTACACGTGTGACAGCTTCTCTAAATTACACATCAGTATGACAGTGATGTTTGGCCCACTGTTGGATTTTTGTAACATTTAGCTTCGCTTTTACTTTCAGGTTTCTCTGAGGGATTGGTGTGAAAAGTGCACAGGCATGAGAAAGTAGCTCTTTGGTTTAACTTTTGGAGCATATTGAGCCTTTTTATGATATCGCATATTCCCACACTGACACACATAACATACACATGTAGAACACTGACTAAATGTTGTGCACCAAATACTTTGTGTGCAGCTTTGTGGTTTTACAGTTACCGTGGGCTAAATTGTCTTGACTTGTCATGTTCTGTCAGGAATAAAATGCGGTACAGTCATTAAATCAAACACAAACTGTGTAATAGGACTTATTAATCACTCATAAGCAAGGGATGTATTTCAAGTTCTCCCTGTTTGACAGGGCTATTGTATAAACACACTCACACACATGTGCAATTTGGTTTGAAACACTTCACAGCACCTACAGCACCAATTTAGTAACCGCTAACTTCTTGCTAAGTCTAAATGTTCACCAGTACTCATCTTTCTACTTTTTATTTTACCCTCCCAGAAATAGAACCGAAAACCCTGGCGCACACACTGTTTTACCTCTCGGGGTTTCCTGTGTGTCTCTAAGCTGGGTTTCATTGAGAATACCTCCACAGTCTCCAGTGTGCAGCTCCTGTCCCTCCCCACATTGTCCTTTGTCCAGCACAGCATTCCTGGTAATCCAAGCAGCTACCTGTTTCCCTTGAGACTGAGGTGGAAAGAAATCTGTGTATGCATGTGTGTGTGTGTAGTGTTTTTATAGATGTGTAGGTGTGTGTGTGTGTGTGTCAAGCTGCTCCAAAAAGCCCCAGTGTTGATGTTTTACTTACCGTTTTGACTTAAAGATGAATGAGCAGAGAGGAAGAGAGGCTTTATTTAAAAGTCTCAGGCGTTTTTGTGCACTATTTGTGTTCAACGAGTGTGTGTGTGTGTTTGTGTGTGTGTTTCATTTACTGAAGTTGATCCCAGTGTTGATTTAACAAAATGTTCGTGAAAGATGAGTCATTACTTCCCCTTTGTGTAATGTGTGAGTGTGTGCGTGCGTAGGAAGAGTATTGCTTACTGTAGAGTGTGAATAATACAGACATGCAGGCAGATACATGCACATACACACAGACAGAAAGTGTTTAAGCTTCTTTGTCATGGTATTTTGCAGTGGCATCAAAATGATCCATGTAGGTGTGAATATAAATAATCCTTACTCAACAAATAAAAACGTATTTAAAGGTAGTATTTATTATAGATTATTCTGTTGAAAAATGTCAACCATCAGTGCCCCGAAGCCCGTGGTGATGTCTTCAAACAGCTGTTCAAAATCCCAAACTATTCAATTTAATGTCAGAAAAGCATCACATTTCAGAATGTTTTTCCTTCAATAATGACTCAAATGATTGACAAATCAAATAACGAACATTTCAGCTCTTATGAATTAGAATATTCTTTTTAGGTTCTGTAAAGCCTCTTATGCCCTCCTGTACCAGTGCCTCTTGTTACCCACTGGTGAGATCTGAGGCTCAGAGTGACAGAAGAGCCACTGATAGAAAAAAACGCTGATTATCAAAGAAGAAGCATTAAACGATTCACTTTATAGGTGAATATTTGTGTGGTGGCGGCACCTCGGGGAGCTCAGAGGATGAAACGAACAAAGAGAGAGAGAGACAGAGATGCAAAGCTTCTGCAGAGAAACGCCTCTTATCTCTGGAGCTCAGTCTGAGAAGCAACCAGAAAGACTGCTGATCTTTCCCTGCTGCCCTTCTCTCTCTCGCTCCTTCCTCTCTTCTCTTTCTGTTTTCTCTCCCTGATCCATTTCTCTATATTTCCCCCCTTTTCAATTTCCCCCTCACTCTTGTGCGCATCCTCCAGTCCCTTTTACGGCTGACTCACACTAAATCAAAGCTCCATCGGTGTGGATCGATCCAGTCCATGTCAGTTCGTGTGTCCGATCATCTAATCCCACCCCACGCTGGTGTAGCACTCCGTCTCTGTTTTGTCCTCTCTGTCTTTGGCACAACAATTGTTTTGCTTGATTGTTCAGCAACAAGATGGTTACTGTCCAACTAGTTATACAACAAATAGACCACAGGAACAACACCTTTTAAAACCTTATAAGCTGTATAATTCCTTTAATCTAGCTTTGCTCAAATGACAAACCACAAAAATGTTCCTCAAATATTTGTAGTAGGCAGTCCTCAGGAGAGATCTTGGAGAGCTCTTATAAGATTGCTACATCTCTTTTTGAAGGAAGAAGCATTTATTAATAAAATATATAATGTAGATCAATTTGCATCAAGAATTCTTTAGATTTGTATGTATTTTATTGATATTTATGGTATCATCTGCTGTATTCTGGGTTTGGAAATCGAGATGTTTTTATGGAAAATTCTGCAAAAGTTGAAAACAAATTAACAAAGAATTTTATTATAGATAAGTGAAACTAAATTGGACACATTTCACTAAACTGGATTCAGCGTTTTCTGCCGAGAAAATAAGATGTCCTCTTTTTACATTTAAATCAATAGGCCCTCGAAATGCATG